AATCGTACGGTAGGGGAAAAAGGAACAATGAGTTTAGCTAGGTCTTACTTTTTCACTAACCCCAAAAACTAATGAAAATAAAAACCACCTTGATTTTAATATACAATTAATTTGTTGAACATGTTCTAAACAAACTAAGTCTACTATTTTTTATATAGTGATAAAGATTATAGATAATTGGTTATACTGATAAATTAAATATTATATAGTATATGACTTAGAGGAATTATCAAAGTGATGTTGACGAAGAATATTTATCGAGGAAACGTACTTCCGAAAGATGGTAGAGGCTATCTGGTTAATATGATCCGTTCTCAACGCAGCCCACAATACATGCCAGCGCGCGTGCTTGGGCTACCTTCCTAGTTTTTTACCAAAACGAAGAAAGCTATTTTCCAACAAAAAAAAGAATACAGAAGTACGCAAAAAGTCAACGTAGCAAAGGGATACCTATGAAAATAGTTTTTTAAGTAGTTCAATTGCACATTACACACCCCAGCGTATAGAGAGGACATATAGATCGATATGTAAGTTCCCTGCTTCAAAATTATTATGAAACAACTCATTCTTTGGTGAACTAGTAGATTTTTACTGTCAGTCGACCATGATAAAACAACTCCATCGATACGCCAAAGATCGTAATAATTTCAAACAAAATTGAAAATATGTTCCAGAAATTATATGTACAGTAACATCACCAAAGGGAATATATAACCTGTATTTTAATTTCTTGCCATGATTGCACTGTTGTTGACAGTACGTTCCATCATCCCACATGCATGTAGCCTTGTTCCTCGTCTACTCAGTTGTTTATTTTTATTCTGAATTAAAATAAATTGAAAAGTTGTTAGTACCATCGATGAAGCCCCGGCCAGGAGCTGTCGAACCTGAAAATCATGATCAATATGGTGGGGCTGACCGTCTTGGCGGACGATTCCGTCGAATGGTCGCTCCTCACGACGCTGTCGCGGTTGCGTATCGTGCTGCCCAATCCGCCATTAATTCCAATCAGCATCAGCTAGGCTGCTACGTACATACGTGGTTAGCACATCCCGATCCGTTGATATAACTTGAGATAGGATAGGATACGTACAGATATAGGTGGACTCTCTATACACGTTAGGTTCACTTAAAAATGCCAATGATAACACATAGATTACAATGTACGGTCAAGATTTTATAATCCATAGATTTAGATTTTTCTAGTTAACATGCGAGCTAAAAAAATGTCCAGTTAGTATGGGTATACATAGATGGTTGGAACACCAGGATTTGATTTGTGTTCATAGATAAAGGTATATGTATATAGGTAGTATTGATTGGATCTGTTGATTCAATCAATTTTAATTTTAGGGTTAAATATTCTTAATGACATACATTTTTATCCAGACTACCCATTGTTGACATTCTAATTTTTCAGCAAGTTTATAATCTTCTAAAAGTTTCAAATTTCACTAATGGTAATGATAAAATGTACTACACCAATGTTAATGCAAAATGAATTGTCCATGGCAGTTTCAACAGTTTCTTAGGATGTTAGCTTGAGGAGTTGATTTTGTTTACTGAAATAGAGTAGTTTAAACCTTAAATCAGTGATTTTAGTCCAGCCATTCACTTTATTTGAAGATATAGTCATTGATACAGCTGGAGTAAACATTAAATTACTACCTCGGCTGCCTTAATATGCTGTGGCTGTGAAGCAGAACATATGCATGTTCTTTGGAGTAGTATATGACAAGAATTGGGGAAAGAAACTTATTAGTTTTTCTTTACTACTACTCTCACATAGGCATAACAAAATAGTGATATTAGCTGTTGTTTTAACGCAAACTTCCAAAGCAGGCCGCTTTACTAAATGTTATTACTTTGTGATACCATTACTTTCAAGTTTCAACTATATATTTATATATTTATTATATACTCCCTCCATCTCAAAATATAAAAAGTTTTAGGGTTAGACACGGTTATTAATAAAGTACGTAGAAGTGAGTGGTGGAGGGTTGTGATTGGATGAGTAGTGGAGGTATGTGGGAAAAGTGAATGGTGGAGGGTTATGATTGGTTAGGAAGAGAATGTTGGTAGAGAAGCTGTTATATTTTGGGATAAATCCTAAGAGCTAAAAGTTATTATATTTTGAGACGGGTGAGTATTTATTATTCGAATGTGAAATGAACCGTACAGAATAACAGTGGGGCTCTTACCGCTGTGGAAAATGCCCACGGCATGATTGATATGGGAGGGTATAGCTGATCGCATCCATTCAGATAACATATTTGTTTGCGGATTCAGTCAAGGTATGGAAAACTAAGTTTTCCAGAGCTGTGGGAAGTTGTACCATCAATTAAGTATTGAACATATTGTCTTGCATGTGCTCTCACGTTAGTAATTGTTTACTCTATGCCAAGATGCTACGTGGTGAGTCACATAGGTGTTTGGATAGGACTTAAAACTTTTAAAACTTTTTAGTCCCTATCACAACGGATGTTTGGACACTAATTAGACGTATTAAACGTAGACTAATGACAAAACCTATTCCATAACCCTGAACTAATTCGCGAGACGAATCTATTGAGCCTGATTAATCCATGATTAGCCTATGTGATGCTATAGTAAACATTCTCTAATTATGGATTAATTAGGCTTAAAAAAATTTTCTCGCGAATTAGTTCTCATTTATGTAATTAGTTTTCGATGTAGTCTATGTTTAATACTTTAAATCATTATCCAAACATCCGATGTGACATGGACAAAAGTTTTATCCCTAGATCCAAACACCACCAAGACTTCACAATAATCAAGGAAGGTATGCAACTCTGTCGATCCCTTTATTCATCTAGTTTAGTTTATTGTTCATATGGTGTAACCGTGCAACCTTAAGAGTTGGAACTACGTTACTATTCGAAAAACAACGAAACAACAAATAAAATTAACCCAGGATAAATTTATTAGGATTGAAATGTATTATTATCTTATATGAACTAATTTACCAAGAATATTTTTATATGGAATCTGCACATCTTATGTAGTCAGCTTAATGTCTTTATCTGAAAAAAAAAGCTGAAATGAATTCTGAAGATTTTCAATGAATATATTTTAGGCAAAATCGTATGAAATTAAGCAAAGTTTGAAACTGGCAGCACATATCGAGGGTATCAAAGTTAGCGAGATGATGAGGGCATGTTTTTCAATCCTGTATCACCTTGGTGCTTGCAAATATTCAACTGTATTTACCTTTTCTTTTCTTTCAGTGAACTTGATAACATCAAGAGCAGTAAACTCAATTACTGATTTATTTATTTATTTTGCATGTATAACATCTAAAAAAAAGATTGGAAACTACTCTGAATGAAGCAAGGTATGAAAAGCACATGCAGTCAGCCTTATTTGGTTAATGAAAAATAAAATAAAATTAAGGGAAAGCTATCATTACAGACGGTTTGGCTTACATGAAAGTACATGAATTTGAACCTAAATCGTATTCTATCATGGAATTTGACTTGCTGTTTGTGCTCATATAAAGCTAAATTAGTTGGAAGTGTAGGATCGAATCATAATAACTAAGCCAACCAGAGAGGGGGTGAATGGTTGGTAGAGAACTCTTTTTTCTGCCCCTGCAAAGCTAATTATTTGTAATTATTTTGGTTCATAACTTGTATATGTATCAATGGTTTAGGCAATGAACACAACAAGGCAGAGCGGATTACAGAGGGAACGGTTGGCTTGAGAGTTAATCATGTGAAGTATGACGGTGGTAAGAATGGGCATCAAAGAATGACAAGATATAGTGTGACTGTTTAGGAAATATAGTAGTGATAGTCTTTACGACCCCTTCTTTTTAGCAAGAAACATAATTACAATGAAGGATCACATCAAAACAAGTCACCTCCTATATTAATTCTTTTCTACCTTCAACAAATGATTTTACTCATTCATCATGTGACACATCCAACGATCGAAAATTATCTGATGACGTCGATCAAACGGCTCCCCACCTCCCTCCCGATTCGATCCAGATCACATCGCTTCGCCTCACCCCAGCAAAATCACCGCGCCCTCCCTCCTCCTCTTTCTATCTTTCACGCGCTCCTGCCCATCCGCCTCGCCTTCCACTGCCCTCCATCTCACCGCACTCCTCAGCTCGCTTCTTCGTCAATCCGCCTTGCATTTCGCCACCCTCTATCTCGCCGCCGCCACCCCCCATCCACCCGCCGGCCCCTCCTCCTATCGCATCGGTCTGCGCCTCCGGGACAGTTACCGGCCAGTTCGCTATTGCCGGAGTCACCATCCCGCACCCGCCGCATCCTCCCTCCCGCACCTCCCTCTCTCCCACACCCGTCGCCACCGATCCAGCTCTCTACTGGTAGTAGAAAATAATCTAGACCGTTGATCTCAATTCATTAAAAGGTTGAGATTTATTTCTATTACCACCTCACTTAATGGTAGTAGAATTGTGGAAAAAATATCTGTGCAGGGTATAATCATTCTTTACACTCGCTAACTGCTCTCTCTCTCTCTCGTTCATTCCTTAGTCCCCGAAATCCCCCAAATCGCATCCGAGCCGACCCCTGCGAGCAACAAAAGTTTGTATTTGTGTATAGAATGTTTGTATATAGTATATTGTGTACGTACGTATTTAAAAAACCGAAAAAAACAGGGAAAAACCAGGGAAAATACTGAAAATATACGCCCAAAAATTTGTATATGTGTATAAAAAATTTGTATTTGTGTATCAAAAGTTTGTATATACGTATTTAATGTTTGTATACATTCATATTTAGAAACCCAAGAAAACCAAGAAAAAACAAGAAAAAAAACCGAAGAAAGTCAAAACAGAAACGAAAACCGCAAAAAAATGAAAAAAAAAACGCAGTCTGGCCTATGCCGCCCCGCCCCCCCTCTCCTGCGTGCGACACGTGCCCAGTCGTGTGCGCGAATTAGGGATCGCTCCATGGCGAAAAGTTCAGGACACACGCATGGGTTTTTGCTATATAAGAATCTAGATAGATACCTCCCCTGTGATGTGCAGGAAGCCACTCGAGAGCTTTCTCTTTCTGTGTGTAGTGTGTGCAACTAGGAGGCTTGTTCCATACTAGTTTGCTAGGTCATGGAAAAGAGCGAGATTTTCGTAGGAGCACACTCATATGCAGCTATATGTGCTTTTACACTCATCATAGGATGGTTAGCTCACTGGGTATACAGATGGATAAATCCTCCATGCAATGGGAGGCTTCCTCCGGGCTCAATGGGCTTCCCTATTGTTGGTGAGACCTTCCAATTTTTCAGAACAAGTCCATCAATAGACATGCCAATTTACTACAAGCGAAGACTGGAGAGGTTAGGATTCAAATAGTTAATAATTAACTTTTTTTGGAATCAGTATGCTATATATAGTTAAACTTTAGGAGAAAGAACATTGTTGATATGAAGACACTATTGCTCTAAATATGAACAACACACACAATAAATCTAAGTTCGGTGTACTGAACTATCAGGTATGGACCTATATTCAAAACTAACATAGGAGGCCAGCACGTGGTCATATCCCTTGATCCCGAGGTGAACCAGTTCATATTTCAACAAGAGGGGAAGTTGTTCCAATCCTGGTTTCCAGAAACCACACTAAACATCTTTGGAAAGAAGACACTCACCACGTATAATAGAACTGCTCACAAGTTGATCCGGAGCTTCGTATGCAAGCTCTATGGCCCTGAAAACGTGAAAAAATCACTCCTGCCAGAACTAGAGAACTCCATGAGGGAAAGCTTGGCGTCATGGATAGGAAAACCTAGTGTCGAGGTGAATGATGGCGTGTCAAATGTAAGTTAACATCTGCATTTCTACATAAGTATTCACAATTGCACAGTGCTCATAAAATCATCATGATGTTTTACTATGATTAATTTCTATTGTGCAGATGATCTTCGGCCTAGCTGCCAAACATTTGATTGGCCTCGACATCACCAATTCAGGAGAATTGAAAAAGAACTTTCAGGAAATATTTCAAGTGATGGTTTCCATCCCATTCCCAATATATTTTCCAGGGACCTCGTTTTACCGATGCATGCAGGTAGGTCTTTATATCATCCAAATAGCTTTATGAAAATACATATTTTAAGAATATTAATAAGCTCTCTAAAGTTATAAAAATTGTGATTCAGTTACCTTGATTTTTTTTTTCATTCCTAATGAAGGGTAGGAGAAATGTATGGACCACACTAACAAATGTAATGAAAAAGAGGCTAAGTGCACCTGGAAACAAATTCGGCGACCTTGTCGATCTGATAGTTGAAGAGCTACGGAGTGAAAATCCAACAATTGATGAAAGTTTTGCTATAGACACTCTATCTGGGCTCTTGTTTGCTAGCTTTGCACCGCTATCGTGCACCTTGACTACAACTTTTAAGTTCCTCAACGACAATCCTGAAGTTTTTGACAAGCTCAAGGTATGTATAGTTCTTTAGGAGTGAATATTTTACATGTATATTGAATAATTAAAGAGGATCAAACATTGAAATTTTGGGCTGATCCTAAACAAAAAAATTCGTTGCATCTACCATTCCAGGAGGAGCACGAAATGATACTGAAGAAACGAGAGGGTGCGAATTCTGGGTTCACATGGGAGGAATACAAGTCCTTGAAATTCAGTACTCAGGTGATTTCAAGTTAATGTATGCTTGGATTGAAGCATCATTGGTGCCACCCTGATGCATTTGGCAATTGCTTTTAAATTGAGCTTGTTTCAACTGCAGGTTGTGAATGAAATTAATCGAATCACTACGGTTATACCTGGTGGTTTCAGGAAAGCACTAACAGACGTGCAAGTAAACGGTAAAAACTTTTTTTTACAAAAACAATAAGGAAAATGTTGTGCATGTAGGTCATGCAATTGATTATTAGAGTATTTGCTTTTGCACACAGGATATACAATTCCGTCTGGGTGGCTAGTCATGATTAGCCCCATGGGAGTGCATCTAAACCCAAAATTGTTCGAGGATCCACTCAAATTTGATCCATGGAGATGGACGGTAAGTGGGAATATTACATTCTAATCTTCTCAATGGGATTTATTAAATCGGTCTACGCTTAGGTTATATCATAACTTATATTAAAACTAATCACAAATACAGGAGGAGAAGAGAATCTCGATGCAAAGGAATTTCATGCCATTTGGAGGAGGAATCAGGATGTGTCCTGCGGCAGAGTTTAACAAGCTTTTTATCACACTCTTTCTCCACATCGTGGTGACCGAGTATAGGTACATACACAAGCTCGCATTCCTTTGTTGTACATTATATTATGCTCACTTTTCAGCAAACACGCAAGAAAGTTGCACAATTTTTATTAAGGAAGAACATTGAATAGGCTGGGAATGAACGACAGAGAAGAAATAACCTAGAAAAAACAGAGGAAAACAGAAGGCTATAATCTTATGCCATGAATTGAAAATGCTCGACAAGATGATCACCCATTCATTAAAAAAAAACTTCCACTGAAATATTCTAACACTATTTTCTTTTCGTCAACCTGGTGAATAGATGGAAGGATATCGACGGAGGGAATGTAAAGCGTATCTCCGAGGTTTTGGTCGCTCAAGAGTATCATATTCAACTAGTTCCTCAGACGTAACATACCTATGGGATATTCATCTATAAAAAACCAAGTGTCAATGGATCCTACGGAGCTATTCGTACATGTACTTCAATATTTTCATCATATGGTCCTCTTATGTGTGTGTGTGTGCAAGTTTGAATTTCCATATATTGTTCCATACTTCCATTAAAGTCTCATATGATTTTCCTCGAATTTGATGAACTAGCCGCCAAACCGTGCATTGTATCACTTTTCATATATTGTTATAATATCATTAATGTATTGGTTATCTATATCACTTTTCATTGTTCTAAGTCAGATCGTGATAAAGTACTGGTAGTTTCATTCAAGTTATACGTTGAAAGCATGTCACGAGGGCCTTTGACTGAACCTGCCGAAACAACACTGGCGAACAAGGCAGAGCCATTTTGGTGAAACAAGATGGCGAAGCACCAAGGAGAAGGCAAAGACAAAGCTCTTTGCCATCGCCACCACCGTGCCGAAGATATACGGTGCCAAGAATGGGCCGAACCGTCAAGGACGGCCCACTTAGCAGCCCAACTAGGGGCCCATGACCAATTTGTTTTTAATTAAGAGCGTCTGCAGCATAAACATAAAATCGATTTTACAGCAAAAGAACTGAACCATGCACGTTGTAGCTATCGAACTGTATGTGTCGGATAACAAATCGAACTCCAGATTGGAGTCGAAAGGAACTAGTACAAACCTATTTTACTATGCATACGTGCGTGAAAGGTAGACTAGTGATTGGTTGATTCATTTTTTGCGGGTCCCACAAAGCAATTTTAACGCTACAGCTATCAAACTGAAATTTTATTCGGCTCTTGGATCAGATCAGTCGAACCAAATACTACAGATGCCCTAAATATCGCTATCATAAGACTAACCATGTAAATTCCTCTATAATATGTAACCCTAGGGCATGTAATCTATAAATAGGCCCAAAGGGGCATGTATTAGGGAAATCCCAAAATTTTCAATCTTAATAAACTGCTTTTGCTTTTCCACTATGTGAACCCTGCCATTTAGTAAACACAGTTGTTATTCGACAACAGCTGGTGACGATCATGGGGAACCCTAGCCGAAATCACTGATGCCACCAAATAAGTCTGTGAGTGAGAAAGTGGTGCGGATGAGGTGTGAGAGCGAAGGAGAAGTCGAGGCGAGCAAGGGCAAATTGGCCGCAGGGGCCGAAGCTGAAGCCGAGTCATGAAGAGTCAAAGCTGGGATTCAGCCTGCCAGAGCAGAGGGCGAAGCTCGAGTCGAAGCGACCACAACTCAAGTGACTGCTTCAACCATAGCTGCGGTGACTACTTTCGTTAGTCCAGAAGTCGACGCTTCAGCAGCCCCAACCATAGCTGCGGCGACTACTTTCGTTAGTCCAGAAATCGACGCTTCGGCAGCCCAAGGAGCGGAGATTTTTTTAGAGAAGGATATTTTTTACCCGGCCTCTATATCCTACCGGATAAATGCAGTATTTTTCAATTTAGAACTTAGCCTATCAAATAGGGAACTTAACCCTCAAATAACCCAATCTGAAATTTGCTCTTATGAAGATTTGAACTCAGAACCTTATGGTGCTACCCAGGTCACTGCAACCACTAGGCTACATGCCTAAGGAGGGGAGATGAAAACCATGCGGCAAGACACACTACGCCGAATGCAGGAGCAACACCAGGCGTACGAAGCAGCTATACAAGCCAAGTCAACAGCTTCTACCAGGCCAGCTGTCACTTCATTGGCAACGACCACTGTGGCATTGACTGCTTCGACGCCACAAGTTTCGGCTGCAACAACTTCATCGCTATTGCCAATCAATGCCTCAAGTCTCTCCATACTCCAAATCACTATCGCGCAATCGACCATGGCAACATGCACAACTTCAATCGACCACATCTTCCGCATTTTCACTTCTGAAAATTAACTAGTAATTTCTGAACTAATTTGTGCATAAAATTCTTGTAAAGGAATCATTGAGATAAACAAATCGATAATTTAATATATAGATTCATCAATAACTAAAACGATTGAATGCTTACAAAGAAAAGAAACAACAGCGAACAAACGATATAGCGACGGCTTCAACTCCACTCCCACAGGCATCCCCATTGTGGTATAAGCCAAACGTGTTCTCTTTCACAACTTTCTTCAACTGAGGTTGATTGATTATTGCAAGGTGAGTACATCGAATACTCCGCAAGCCACACAGCAAATATGGAAGTGCACAGGGATGCAAAGGATGGAATAATAGGGTTCATTTGTAAAAGCAACATTTGGCAAACATTTGAGAATTGTAAAACATTAGAGTAATTAATTATCAATATTAATCAATCATTAAGCATCACACCCATACTACATAGGCCCAACTATCTATGAACAACCATTCCCGATTGCACTGATCTAACCTCTAAACTAAGAATTATCCATTCCAAACCATGAGCTAACAGTTATCATCAATTACCATCTTATTATTATTATTACTAGTAATTTGCCCGTGCTAACGCTATGGAATTTTTTTTAATCATTCGGGTATAACGCACGTTATGAATTAAATTTAACATTTGCAAGAATTTATTATCTTTTGAAGAATCAATGTCTAGACTTTGAAGTTCCTAAAAAGGGATAATACATAGAATCCAGAATAATCGACCAAAATTCATAAATATTAGATAGACGAGTTTCTGATTTGTTGTTTACATAGCCACCTTAAGGACTCTATTGTCAGGTTAAGGTATGTCAGAATATGAGACAATAGGATCACAGTATCTAGAATTTCTACCATCATATGTAACAAGATAATAGTACAATAGTTATAATTCTTTTTTTTACAAAATCAAAACATAAAATCATTATAGTAAAGACTTATTAGCCATCAAGCTCATGCCGTTCGTCACTGTACATCTACAATACTCAACAAGTCTAAAATTATAAGGAACTTCTTTTAGCCTTGAATGCCCAGTAGAATTTCTATAGAAAAACGCGCATCTGCTGTTTGTCATAGTAGATTGGATTTGGCAAACAACTAAAAATTCTATCCAAAAACACACATTTGCTAAAGCACAATACATGTTAAGATTGTTAGTGATATGCCCTAGAGGCAATCATAGAGATGATTGTATCACATACTATGTTTAAATATTTATCCGACATTGTTCCTTGAAATAGATAACTCATTATTGGTTAATGAATATGTGATTCTTTCATGAGACTCTTTATGTTGTTTGTTACTATTTCTAAAGGATCCTTGATCAAATATCATATGTGGAACAAATATGTTTAAATGATCAGCACATGTATTAATTGATGATCATGTCTCATGGATCATGGCATAGAGATACCAAATTAATAATGTGGACACATGTTGGTGAACATGTTGTTGGATAGACCCAACATGAGACACTGCAAAAGCCATATGTGTTGTGTCATCAGTGATCTCATCATGGTTCCTAACATGTGTAGTAGCTTACTTAGGGACTGCTAAACGCTACTCTAATTCTAGAGGTTAAATCCAGTAAGTTATTACTGAAATTCTAGAGGTTAAATCCAGTAAGTTATTACTATCTCTAATTAACTATTTATGAAATCAAGATTCATCTTACAGGGTCTTTTGGTCTTTACTGAACCTTACCCCACATAACTATTTATATATCTAGTTTTGAAGCCCAACAGCACAATTACCATATTTCTTAGCAATATAAAATACTTCTTGCTGCTAGCTACATGATGATACAAATAATTTTGAACTATAACTAATCTTTCTACTTGTGAGCTAAATCAAAATATTTATACCCTATTGTTTACACATGTTCTGCAGCTGAAATTATTATATGATCCTTTTACTGATTTCAGAGATATTCTTGTTCATATTATGATGGATGAGAATGCAACACACAACTCCTACACATACTAGTATATGCATCACACAAGAATCATGTCATGATATGATTTCACTTCCATTTTAATCTTCTAATTACCTGCCATGCTTTAGGGTGACTGATATGTTATTCCCTTCTGACTTTGCAGCTGCTCCTCTAAACTATGGTTCAAGGGTTCTCCTGATGGAACTCTGCTGGAACACCACTTGCTCCTTCTTCAGGTTGGTTTCTCTGCTATCTCACTTCAGCATCTCCTTGCTGCTTTGGTTTATATGGTAAGATAAGTGAAAATCTTGATTGGCATCTGGATTTGCTACTTCCCTTGGTTTTCCTGGAGTTTATCCTCTTTCTTGATTTCTGCTCCATCTTGCTTGAGCTACTAATGGTTGCTTCTCCTACTACTCCTCTGACCTCTCATTCACTCACCCTAGCCTCTCCTGGCTGTACACACAAGGCTGCTACGGCTGTGGTGAAGCATGGGTGAGATGTTGAACTACTGATTTGCTAGCTGTGATTATTTCTCTTTAGCTTGAGTTGAATCCCTAGCTGAACTGCTGGTGTTGATTTCCGTTGCGGCAGCTGCTGCTATTGCTCTACTGCGGCAGGTGCTTGAGGTGGTTTTCCAACCGATGCAACCGAGGCTGGGGTTCACTGAATAGCTTGGTTGATGTATATGTGAATTTGGTGAAGACTAGGTGACTCACCTACTTTAGTTTTGATGGTTGTTTACTGACTGACACCTAAGCAGTGCTTGATCGGTGGAGTAATGTGGGATTTCACTAAATTTTTTCTAGTTAGATAAATTCTGATACAATTAGGTACTTTTACACTTGAGTCCCTCGGGGTCTCTAAAATTGAAGGTTACTCTGAGATTAGGGACTGATTTGTAATTGTTCTAGAACTCAAGAGTTTTTCTGAAAACTAAATGATTATTGAATCTTTGACTGAGGTGTTTCAGTTTATGATATGGTATCAATAAACACCTTATATATGCACAATATATGCGATGCATACTGTATAAGATTTCTAGAGTACAATTATATGCATATATGTATGCAGACCTGTAGTGGTAAATTGTAAATAACGAACTGTGGTTTCTACTGTGCACATGTGTAGCTCACTTCGTGACGACTAATCTATGCTATAATTTAACCAAAACTAAATTATCCCACTCCTCACTAGGTCTACTCTAACTAAAAATAATGATGCATATGGATATGACTTGATAAATAAATGACAAGGAAACGATCGAAAAATCATTTAAGATCCATAATAGAACAACAATCAACATATTTATAGGTCCTAGCCAGCATCGTGGCTCAATCGACACCGCTCTCAGCCAGTGTGACCAAGTCATTTGCGTGACTAAGACTATAGCTGATATGATCTTTATGTATGTCCGGTGGGTCAATACGTTCTGCTAGGGGCCGCTGTTGACATGTGGACCGAGAAGGAGTTTTCGGTTTACAGCCGAGTGTACATGAACCTACAGGGTCGCACGCTTAATGGGCCAAAATAAGGGGATTGGATAGAGATCTAATATGAGCTTAATTCGGATAGGGATCCGAATAGGAGTCCTACGGGCCTTGGAGGCCCGAGTGATGGATTCTATATATTCGTGAGGGGTGTGACCGGCGGAGGTATTGCATCACGTGAGAAACCCTAGCTGCCATTTTCCTCCCTGAGCAAAACCCTAGTTGCGCGCGGGTGCTAGCACATCTGCGCGTGGCATTCCGTCCCTATACGTGTGGATACCGGTAGAGGCACCGCTGGTTTGCGGTGCTGATCGGCGTGGGAGTACGGCGAGGAGGACGCACGAGGAGGAGAAGGTCGAGCCGGTGCGATTGACTACTTCCTCTACATCGACGCGCGCTACATCGCGAGGGTTCCTTCGACTCCTTAGCGCTTTCTTCCACTGCGCAGCGCGTCGAGTGGTAACGATCTATGATCTAATGCTTGCATGGTTCCTGGTTTACGCGGTAGAAAAATTTTGATTTATGCTATCGTAGCCTACGCATATCCCAACAGTGGTATGAGAGCCGCCTTGTATTGTTTATGATCTAGATCATTGCATATAGTTGATATGCGGGTGTAGTAGATGAGATCTATTATATTGTATATGAGTTCTTAGATGTCACGTCCTGATAAATTCATCCCGAAATAAAAATCATTCTCTAAAAGGAATAATAGAATTAATTAAAATTCGAAAAGAAATTGGCAAACACTAAAATACGTACAAGAAAAATTCAAATGTGGCCCGGAGAATTTTTGTTAAATTCTCCTTGGTCTAAAAGGAGCCCTCAATTTTTGGTGGAATTTTCAGAGCACAAATAATAATTATTAAGAAATAAACAAAGTTAAAATGGTTTCATAAAAAGAAAAACCCTAAAAAGTCTTTCCCCCCCCCTTTTCCCCTCTTGGGCCGGCTCGGCCCATCCCTTTCTCTCTCTCTCCTCTTCCCCGCGGCCCATCCGGCCTCCTCCCCGCGCGCGCGCCGCTGACGGGTGGGCCCGCCCGCCACCCTCGCTGACGGGTGGGGCCCACCTGTCATCCCTGTCCTCCCGCCGCTCCCGCCGCCTCGCCCGTGCCCTAGCGCCGCCGCCGCCGCGAATCCCGCCGCCTCCCGTCGTCCACGCGCGCAATAAAGTGGGGGGAAATATTCCCCGTGATTCCCTCTCTCTTTCCCCCCATTTCTCCCTCTCTCTCCCGCGTTCAAACGGGCGGATTTGCCCCCGCAAATCTCGCCGGCGCCATTGATGGCGGCCGACCTCCCGCGCCGGTTTCCTCCCTTCCCCGGCCACCCTCTCTCACCCCCGGCTCTATTTAAACCCTCCCCGCACCTCCTCCGTCCGGTTCCGCCTCTCGCCGCCCTTCCTCCTCGCCGGATTTGAGCTCGCGACGTCGCTCTCTCTCTCCGCCGTCGCCGCCGAGCTCCGGTCCGCCGCCGTCGTCACCCCGGACCGCCTCCCACCTCGGCGCCGCCTCCTTCGGCTTCGCCGCATCCTCGCCGACCTCGTCCACCTCTCCGTTTCGGTCGCCGACCGCCGGAACGCCGCCGTCCCCGTCGACCCGAGCCGCGCCGCCGCCTCTCTCCGCTCCGGTCGCCGTTCCCGTCGTCGCCGTCGATCCGGGGTGAGCCGTGGGCCGCCGTTTCGCTTCCCCCTTCCCTCCCCTCTCTCGGGCGCCGCTCCGCCGCGCCGGTGGCCGCGCTGGCTTGGCCGCCCTCGGGCGCGCCGAGTGGCTGCCGCGTGGGGCCCGGCCGTCAGCCGCCCGCGCCCTCGGGTGCGGCTGACGCGTGGGACCCCCGGCGCCGGCCGGTGTGAGCCGGGTGCACCCGGTCCACCGTGGACCGTGGGGCTGCCGCGTGGGCCCCACTCCCGTGGACTCGGTCCGCGCGCCCCTCCCCTCGGCTGACGCAATAAATCCGATTTTAAATTAAAATTTAAATGAAGAAATTCGCAAATATCCATTTAAAGAGCATATAAACTTCAAATGGCCATAACTTGGCCATTTGAACTCGGAATTGGACCGTTCAAGTCTCTAATTTTTCCTTAAGAAGTCAAGAACCCATTTTTGTGCTTTATTTCTGCTTGTTATATGGAGTTTATTAGAGTAAAAGCCTTTTCTTTTCCATTGGTCGTGTAGACGCTGCAGCTTCGGAAGATCCGCTCTTCGTGGAAGTTGAAGCCGGCGTTTGGGAAAGCGAGCAAGGCAAGTCACATCATCCTTGAACATATTGAATCCCAGTTTATAAAATTATTTTGATTTAAATTATTGCATTGTCGCTTTATTTAAATTCCCGCGTTATCACTGTTTTATTTAGCCATGCCTATTTACCTTTGTTATGACCTTATTATTATTGTTATTGTTATTATTACCTTGTTCACCCTAGATTAAACAAAACCCCAACTAGTGGATACTCTACTCATGGTACCACTAGTATGATTTTAGGTAGATGCTTCGCTGTTTAATTAGGTATCATTAGGTGGTTTTACAACTCTAGACTCTGGGATATTCTCATCACCTGGACACTTTGGAATTGTTGGATTATTGCGGAATTGGATTCACACCGCCCCCTCTATTCAAAATCCCCAAAATGGTTTTAGGCTGGGCTCGGGGTGCATGGTTTTGATAGTAGCACCTCGGCCATATAAGGACCGGTCTTCGGGCCTCTGTTGCAAAGCACTACCGTACTTCCACATGTCTAGTGGGTAAGGCTTAGTTTGTGGCTCAGTCTGGTTATAAACAAAAGTACACGGATTAGAGATGGACGAAGTCGGGGGTCGATGGACATCTCTAGGACAAATGAAGGCTACACGAGCTGCGGCCCGGTAGTCGAGATGTCATGGCACAGGGCTGGTGTCCTGCTGCTAGGGGCTCAATCCTGCCTACCTGTCCCGGAGGTTCCGGCCGTAGGTGGGGTTGGGTCGGTACTCTTGTCTATGGCTAGGATGGGTTGAAAACTATGTCACGTCTTCCGTCTGTATACCGTGGTGGTATGTGGCACGTGGTTGCACGTGAGGGAGATGTGTCTTGTGGGTAAAGATGTACACCTCTGATCAGAGTATAATCTATTCGAATAGCCGCGCCCTCGGTTATGGGCAAGCCGAGCAATGTACCCAAGTTAGTGTTTTAATTCTTAAAACCTGCTTAACAACTAAAATGTGGAATGGTTGGCCTGGGTTGGCTTGGGACGAGCTAGGACCCAGGGTCGGGTTGCCAGTTCGGTCTGAATCATCGTAGGCCTTGGGTTAAGGCAGGTTCGTGAGGGTTCACGGCCTTGATTAATAATACTGTGTAACTCTAGGATCGTCTCTATAAAATGGCTTTGGGCAACTAAGTGACTTTTAAATGCTGTTTTCTGTAAAACTTAACCCCTATATTATTATCCCCTTGTACTCCCTTGCATTAATTATGCATCTCCGGTGTGGCTTGCTGAGTACTGTGGTTGTACTCATTCTTGCTCAATCTTTCTCCCCCTTTCAGTAAGAGAAGCTTTGGAGAAGATGTCTTAGGTGGAGTCTTGGCTTATACCCCAGTTGAGCGCCTGTGAAGTTGGAGCCGTAGGCCCGCAAGTCCGCTGCTGTTTATTTTTGATTGTCAGGCCTTAAGTGCCTTTGTAATAATGTAAATATTATCGATATAATAAAGATGTGTCTTTTATATCATGTTTGTGTGGTGTACCCCGGCTTTTCCTGGGACGGGGATTAATACACTAGCGTTCGGGAAAAGGAAATTTTCTCGGTCGCGACATTAGATGATCGGAACATGAGATGAACCGATAGCCGCTTGGGTTGATGAGATCAATCGGTATGTGTGTTGGTGACTTCACTGGAATGTCTAGTACTCACCAAGGCCGAGCGCAATTGTGTTCATCGGATAGTCCGATGTCCACAAGAACCGCACGCCAATGAGAAAAACGAGCCAATGAGATTGACTTGGTTTCGGCATAATTCGATTACTCCGTTAAGGTTTTGACATGGCGAATCGTAGATGAGATCTATGTACACGGCTAGCGGGACCGCCGTGTGCGTTGCCCCTTAGATTTCGCTTAGGGTTTTATATCTATCTTATTTTATTGCTGTTGTATATTTGATATGACATGGTAGGATAGATTCCCTCAGAAAAATTAAGTGTAATTTATGCTCTTCCAATAATTGCACCTATTACGGTTGTGATCATAAGTGATAGGTTTGCCATAGCAAAGTGTCACTTTT